TTGGATCAACACGATATGAACTCATAGTAACATTATTTTTATCAGAAAAAAAAGATTCAAATTCTTTATTTTTTATTTCAGATATATAATTTCTTTTTACAACTGGCTTATTTTTTGGTGGACATCCAGGTCCATTTACATGGCTATATCTCTTGGCAGCAGATACCAAATCATTTGAAACCTAAAAGATAATTATTTGATATTTTTAACAATGACACAATCATTCATTACATTTAAATGTTATCTAAAATTTAAAAATTTTTACCAATTTAATTCTACAAACGCTTTAAGCATATTCATTTCTTTGTGTAGAGCTCCAGGAAGTAAAATTAGCCAAGGGAAATCATTTCTCAATTTCAGTGCAAGATTATAAGGCACACCATCACATACAACAGGTACCCATTTACATCTCCCTGATTTGATTCCTGTAATGTTTTCTATATGTTTTAATACAATTTCAACATTTTTTAATGAATTTGGATTTACAGGTATTGGATCTGGAATGTAAATGTCTGGAACTTCTACTCCTTTGTCTGGTATAAGTTTTTGTGTTATGCTAAGTTTAGATTTTTGAGCACCATGTTCAGATTTTTTTATTTAAAGATGCACTCTCAGGTGGTTTTTGAGAAATTTGGTTTAAATTTAATGAATCAAGGGTTGGTAGTTTCTCATTGCAATTTGGACAATTTCTTTTTTTATTATCTATATTTTTTTCAGAACAATTGAGACATATTTTCATTTTGTTATGAAGATTATTTTGATTATCAACAACAAGATGATCCAATTGATTTATTTCCTTATTTTTTTCATTACACAAATTACTTATTATGTCACCAATAAAATTATGAAGCTCTAACTCAAATTCTCTTTGCATATCATCATCTATGTCTAATAATTGTTCAATTTCATCTGAAGTAAGTGAATCATTTTTCCAAGGATTTGTTGTTAACTGGCTATTATCATGTGGATTGAAATTAAAAGCAACAAAGCTAGTAACCACATGAAAAATGACTTAGTTGTTGCCACAATTCAAATAATTTTTTTGACCTCTTTGTTCATTGTCAAAAGCTAAAATTAAAAATCCATCTGGCAAAGGTTTAGGTTCAATTACTAAGCTCTCCAACCAATTAACAAATTTTGAATAGCTACCAGAACTCATTATGTGATTATCTATATCTACTATCATTTTTGACCTTGTCAATGAATATTTGATAGCAGATGTGGCAAGATTTATTGCAGAAACATACTTACAATTTCTTGAGCCATAAATTGCCTCCAATGCTACAGCACATTTAAAAAAATTTTCTTCTTGCATTTGTTCACTTTGATCATTATATTCATTATTTGTATATATTTCAATAAATTTAACTACAACAGGATTTTGTTCTTCAAGCCATTTTGTAGGAGAATAGGTTAAAAGATTTGACAAAGTAAAACATTCCATATTTTTGATTGATTTTTGAATATCTTGATAAATATTATTTCTTTTTGCTAAAGCAATATCTATAATAGCATTGATTCTTTTCTCTTGAGTACTAAATTGGGTAGCCAATTGATTTTTGAGATTATTATTTTCTGCAGTTAAATTTTCTTTTCATTATTCAAAATTTTAATTTGATCATATGTATACATGCAGCCCAAATTGGTTTGGTGATTTTGATGGTCAAAATTATTCCAATTTTGATGGTAGAAAGTAGAAATTAATTACGGCATTCACTATTAAAAACATGTGTAACACCCCTTTACTACATGTGTAACCCCCTTTATGACAGTGTCAAAATACTTTGGGCTGCATGTATAATCATATGCTGCTTTTAGTTCTTGTTCTAATATAAGTAGATATTGAAGAAAAAGATGATGATGAAGGTGAAGATAATGGCAAAGAAGAAAGCTCATTGATTTTTTTCTTATATTCATTTATTATGTTAACATATTCCAGTTGTTTGGATAAAGAATTAGCCAATTTATTTTTTGTCTGTAACAGTTCTGATAAAAGATCTAGATCTGGTAGGGACACTTGAATTCCAACATCATGGACCTTTGGCTCAGGAGATGGTTGAGATAAATTATTACAAAATAGCATTCTTTTGTCCATAATCCATAGAAGTAAAGTCACATGTTTGTAATGTTTGAATAAGAGAATCACTAGCAACAATTTGATTGTAATGTCTTTCACAAAGGGAGTAATCTTCTAAAGAATTAGATAATGAAAATAATTTGGGAAAATACTTAGTAAAAAGTTGTACATGTTCTATTACTGCCTTTCCTGATGAGCCTTGCCTCCAAGATTGATTAATTTTAATTTCAAGTCATGACTCTTTGAGTATATGTCAACAAGTTCAGCAAATAAGCAAGGTAATGTGCTGGCTAATGGTCTTAATATTTTATTCACTAAAATAATAAAAAAAAATATTATTTAGGTAAAAAGCAAACCTTTTGTACAAAAATTTGTCAAATTTAGATAAAAGCATACTTCTTTCAAATTAACAGATTATAACAGATTTTCTACAGATTATGAAAGAGAAAGTTTGAAGGTATTATTTCGATTATTATTATGGAGGTTTGTATAAAAAAAATGGGATAAAAAATAAATGAAAGTTATCACGTTAATTTGTTTGCATCACTATATGAATTGATCAACAGAAATTTCCAGAATTGATTCCAAATCGGGGTATGATTTGCACATTGGTTACCAAACAAATCAAAAAAGAGAGAAAATAAATGAAAAACAAAGGGGGGAAGAAAAAAGAGTAATCAACATCATTGCCCAAATCATATTTAAATAATATTAAATTCGACATTTATTTTAACTCTTATGGGTTGGCTTGAATAATTAATTAACATACCATTTGCTAATTTTTGATGATTTGACAATGAGTGAGAGTGGATTCTACAGTTCAGCAAGCTGGAATTATGATCAAGCGCACTTTAAAGTTACTCTTAATAAACAAATGGGATTAACATCAAGCATACTTTTAAAATTTACTCTCCTAAATCTTTAACAGTGAATGATTGCCTCGGATTAACCTTCTCAGTGCTGATCTAACCATTTATGATCATCCTAACCCAGTCAGCATTCAGCTAGCAATGTTATATTTTTACCACAAAGTATTTCTTTCTAAAGAGTGTTCAAATTCATTTGAAAAATAATTCTTTATAAGGATCAAAATATAGCAAAGTTTCAGAAGTTAAGATTAAAGCAAAGGCTGGAGGTTATAATAGATACAGTGTGTAACAAAAAAATTTATCACCCAAATTAACTCCAAATCACATAGCAAACTTACGCGAGATTGTTTTATATATTACAGTGTTTTTTTTTGTGTTTGAAACCCAACTCCAAGCCATATTACATTTTTGGAAACGATGTTGTATAATCTGCAAAGGAATTACATGCTCTGACCAATATACCACTCTCAACTATCTATAACAATATTGAAAAGTTAAAAAAACAGGTGAAGTTTCGCACAAAGGAGATAATGGCTGACCAAAAAAGATCACAAGTGACGCAACACGCACAATTGACCAATACACTTGTAGAGACACCTCTTTATCATTAAGAATTTTGTCAAATAAAGTATCTGCGAATGATGTAATGTATCCCATATGACAATATCAAGATATTTAAAAGAGCCTGGATATCAAAAAAGCATTCCCAAGCTATGTTAACCACAAAACATAAAGAAAATCGTGTTGAATGGATAACTAATCACCTGAATGATGACTGGTCAAAGACACCATTCAGTGATGAGACTGCTTTTCAACTGTTTAGAAGAAATGCTGTATCATGTTGGCATAGGAGAGAAAAGCCAATCCGGCACATTCCAAAAGATAGAACTAAAATTTTGGCTTGAGCAGGTTTTTATGCAAGGAAAAACATCTCTATTTTGCTTTTCTGAAATAATGAATGCAAACTTGTATGTGGAAATTGTTGAAATACATGTTCAGAGATCAATCAAATGATTGACAATTCCAACAAGACAGTGATCTAAACATACTAGCAGGATCACTTTCTCAATGATAATGTACCTGAAGTAATGGACTGATCACCCAATAGTCCAGATTTAAATCCAATTGAAAATCTCTGGAATTCCTACCTGATTCGGTCCTAATTAATTTAGTGAATTTAATGAGAACACATTGTGAGCTTGTTATTAAAAAAACGTGGAAGAATACCATATTAAATTATTATCAAATAAATATAGAGGTTTCAATGTTTAAGCGAACTATTTTGCATCAATTTTCATTTAATAGTTGTTTCACTCTATCAAATTTTATTTTCCAAGTTTCAACTTTGATAGCTATGGCAAATCATATCAACATATTTGGTTTTTGAGCCCTTTTTTCAAACTCTACACACATGTAAACTCGATAGGTCAGTCATTTACTTATTTTAAACAATTGATTAATGAGCTTACATGTGTATCTTATTGTGTAACTGTTCAGTAGATGATAATTAACCCTGAAAAAAATTATTTGCTCTGACAAAAAAAATATTTTACTATTCAACAACCAGTCAAACCAATGGATTTTGGGTAGTATAAGATGTTCATAATATTATGATCATATCATACTGAAACTTTGGGGTTCAAGCAAAATCATCGCATATGTGTAATAAAAGATGATTCATTTACAATGAATGAGAATGCAAGTAGGATTAGAAAAACAAATTGAAGAACTGCAACAATATATAACGAAATTATAAATTGAATACAAATAATTAATAGGTTATTAGGCCGTTCAAATTCGACATCAATTCCCCCTCTCATTTTTTAATGTACAGTGTATCTGCATATTAAATTTCTATCATTGATCTTAGGACCACATTCCTAAGACTCTAAGGTCTAAGTCTGATGATCCAGTCCACTCCAAGCATTCTTAGGCTGAATAATACTGTTAACATACCTAGTCATCATATGCATTATCTAATCAAGTAAGTCTAATGTTCAAATCAACCATACTTAAAAATCTTTCAACATATCTATTAATTCCCTATCTCTGTCTCATTCTCTTTTTTCTACTTCATTTTCTTGATCAAGTAATAAAACTTGGTTGCTAAATAACTGAGTGTGGTCATATTTTATCAAAGAATTCTTGATAGACTGCATCTTGTTCGGTTCTGATTCTTCAATTTTTTCTTCTACATGTAATTCTTGGATATCTCAATTTTAGCCATCTTCCAAACTAATTAAAATCCTAAAACACTTTAAACAAAAAATAAACTTAAAAATACGTTTTAATCGTTTAAAAGTTTTTCAAGGATGCTTTTTACACGGTTTCGATTTATTTTAATTTCAATTGTGCATTAATTGGTTCTCTTTTCAAACGAAGTTATTTTAACTTGGTTGAAATGTCTGTCTACATTATTATTCAAAGTAAATAGAAGATAAGAGCTGTAATATAAAAGTCTGCAACTCAGAATGTTGTAACCTAGATGCAAAATTTTAAATCATACTAAATTTAGACATGGTGTGTGTCTAGAGACACCCACTGCTACATCATACGACCATACAAAGATATAAAAATATATACCAAATAACAAATGCATCAGTTAATTTTTAACATTTACATAGCATAGTATCTGAAAGCCGATTTGTTTTAACGAAAGATCGATCACATTTAATATTAATATATTGCGGTCGTTCGTATGATGATGAATACGGTTGGTAATTCCTTCATATTGAAGTTGTGTGGTTGATTCATTCTCATACATATGCAGTAAAAAAAATAAACTGATAATGTTTAACCCTTTGATTACCTTTGATTATGGTTTATTGAAAATCCTCGCGTGAAGATCCATCGAAATAATATTAATAACGTTAAAAGTGGATGAAAAGCCTAGTCTATTATGGAAAGTCTTGACAAAAGAAGGAAAAAAATACACATAGTTTACATATCGAACATTCTTATATATAAGACTCCAAACGAATCAATAAAATTCAATGGGATTCAATGAGAATCAATGAAATTTAAATCAATTTGATTTGAAACATCAAATCTTTGAATACAAATTGTGCATCAATTCGATTCAAACCCTATAGATAATTCGGTTCGATCTAATTCAAATATATACCATATGAAATAATGCATAATTTTAAAGGATTTGCCTTTGGAACGTTGTGTGCGTGAAAATCAAATTTTGGGGTAGGTGTTTGGGATACAAAACAAAAATAATGGCTTCGACAGTCAAAAAAAATTTATATTACCTAGTGCAATAATTGCATTTGGCTTTTCCATTTACAACTGTAAAATGGTTTAAACTTTATTTTTTGTTTTACACACTGATTACATGGTGCCTTTTGAAGAAGTAATTGAAGAGACATCATTTTCAACAATGCAATTATCAATGAATCGTAAATCCATATTACTTTTTATTTATAGAGTTTCTATTTGTAAATTTCTTACTCAAATTACTTGTTTTATTCATTTTATTTGTTCGTTTCGTTCGTTTCTTTCGTTTCTTTCTTCCACCCCCTCGTTCGTCGTTTCTTTTGTATTTTTTTGTTTCGTTCGTTTCTTTCATTTCTTTCGTTTGTTTCTTGCGTTTATTTCGTTTCTTTCTTCCACCCCCTCGTTCGTCGTTCTTTTGGGTTTTTTTGTTTCGTTCGTTTCTTTCATTTCTTTCGTTCGTTCCTTTCGTTTCTTGCGTTTCTTTCGTTCTTTTTTCCACCCCCTCGCTCGTCGTTTCTTTTATTTCGTTCGTTTCTTTCATTTCTTCCGTTCGTTCCTTTCGTTTCTTGCGTTTCTTTCGTTTCTCTTGATTTGTTCGTTCGGTTCATTCATTTCTTTCGTTTGTCGTTTCTTTTGATTCTTTTGATACTTTTGTTCGTTTCGTTTTATTCGTTCACTCATTTCTTTCCTTTCTTTTGTTTCTTTTGATTTGTTTGTTTCGTTTCATTCGTTCAATTCGTTTCTTTTTTGTTCGTTTCATTCGTTTAATAAACAAACCATCCAAATAAACCTTATTCGAATAGAACCTTATTTAGGAATCCGATTTGATTTAAGCGATCGAATCCTTTTTTTTTTGGCTGATTCCCTACTAGCCCAAGCTAGCCCAAGCTAGCAAAAGTGCATCACCAAAGTAATAATAATACTAAGGCCATGCAAAAATGAAAATTTATGGACAATTGGGAATTATGGTTTGGAGGAGGTCCTTTCTACACAAAAAAATGCATTGGTAAAAAATAATTTAGTGATATGCCGTTTTATTTCAAGATTTTATACCTGTAATAGCTCCATAGCCCCGCCATAGCGTAATTGGACGCGATGTAATTCCTTCCGATTATATTGTCCCCGTAAATTAAATTTTTAAAAAAATTTTCACAAATAATAAATCTGATGTTTAACCAAATGGTGTCAGATTTAACAAAATTTTCCTACAATAAAAAGTGTAAAGTGTCCCTTCATATCCATGGAAGTTAAGCTCGCGAGACAAATAACCTATTAAGCTCACAAGCCAGCCCGTGAACTAATAAGCCATCTGGCCCACAAACCGTCTCGCTAGGGTCGCGCAGTGCACAACCCACCACAAATGAAGCACTTGAATACCAATTTATAGGCTATGGTAGAGGCTTTAACAGCCTCTCGATAATACAATTCGAGACCCCAGGGCCAAAAAACCACCCCCGAAATCTCCTTGCACATCATACCTTTGGGACATTCAGGTCCAGTTAGCCTTTGGTTCTTTTAGGAGATCAAGAATATTTTATTTACTTGGTTTTGAATAATTTCAGCACCTGTAAATTTCCGATAAACAAATATTACATATTAATAAAGAGTTTACTTTGGCAATTTTATAAAAAAAAAAATTTTTCTTCAGAACCATACCAAGTAATTGTTTTGATTATTTCGACGCCTGTATTCTCCTCAGACAGGCGGGTTAAAAAAAATCATTGCATACAAACTTTGCATAATACAAAGTTGTATGTATGATATAAAATATAAAATAAAATAGCCCTCCACATCCACGTTTGTTGTTTGTTGTTGTTCTCCACTGGGCTAAATTATTTTTTGTTTTTTTAAAAAAAAAAAGAAAAAAAAAAGAGATCAATTGGATAATAATTTATATATGATAATCATTACTAGTAACTAGCCAACGAATAAATAAAATTTCATGTGATCATGCATGAATAATAAGTATAGATACTTCTTTAGTCAAAAAACATTAAAGCCATATACCTTTTAAGATAAAATTTAAGGAGCTTATTATCATATGATGTCAAATTATTGATCTGGTAGATAATGCTAATATTAATGTGGGACTGTCTCCAACAAAAAACAGCCTCTGAGGTAAATAACTAACTCATTTTGTGTAAATACAAAATCAATTGAGTTTGTTTATTGACCGGATGTTATTATATTTTTATATAGTTGGCTCATTTTTAAACAAATTTTAAAATTGTTGAAGTCACTTTCTGTCCTACCTGTCTAAAAATAGCCACATTTGCTGTTCTTTTATTTACCATGTTCACGAGGAATTTAGGGGTCGCTATTCGTTGCCAAATTTAGTCTAGTTTATGCTTATCATTACTAAATTTAGACTAATAAAAATACATCATGATTAGGATATTTAGCTATTTTTAAAAATTTCAACTAAACTAAAAATCACACAAAGACACTTATGTGAAAAACTTTGAAAAACTTTGAACAAATCACGAAATCGTTATTTTTGAAACTGGGCGTACGGCGTAGTAATCAGAGGTCTTTAAACTGAGCCAACCATATGGGACTGTCTACAGCAAAAACCACCTCCGAGCTCTTTTGACCAAATTTGTGTTTTTTACATAATACCATCCTGTGACATGTAGATTATAACTTGTGAAGATATCAGACCCTGTTTTCTTAATAAAAACATGGGAAATTGTAGGCCGGATATTTTTTTAAAGTAATTTGCGTGTAGAATGAAATTGATCTACATACCCCATTTTTTATTGTTACACATAATAATTTAAATAATATTAATAAACGTATTAAAATAATAATAAATTGGCATATCTGATTTTTAAATTTAAATATGTATGTGTGTGTGTATATATATATATTAATTATTTTCAAGAGGAATAGCCTCATATAAAGTTAATTTGGAATTTATTTTTGTGAATTATTTTTATTATATGGGCATACTGCAACAAAACCAGACAAAGTGAACATTTGTATATATTACCAAAATTTCAGGGGTCAAAATTTAGTAATGTGATTATTATTAAAATCTTCCATTTGTTACCCTCTTAATATTAGGTGCTATATAGAATTACCTCTATATAAAAATAGTTAATATGAAGTTAATTTACATCAGATCTACTATGGAACCAAAGAATTACAGCACCATTAGAAGTATTTTGAAGAAGGAACAAGGTGAAAAAATTGCACCTTATATTTTTAAATTAGCAGATACTAAATCCTTGCAAACATATTTAGATAAAGAAAGGATTACCTATGAAATTTACCAAGAAGAAAGAAAAATAATAAACACTAAGAAAAGAACATTAACACAGAACCACAAAGAACCCAGAAAGAAAAGAAAATCAGTAGAGAAATAATTTGCTGTCTAATTTTAAAATAATATAATGAATATATTATCTTTTAAAGATTAAAGATATTAAAAAAAGATTTGGTAAAAAAGAATTAGTATGAGTTGGTTTGACTTGCTTAGGTTTTACTTCAATTATTTGTCCTTGTTTCTTTTTTAAGTGAATTTTCTCACTTATCTTTTTTGTAAACTGTAGTAGTTTGTTCTTTTTCCTTGGTAATGCTGGTAAAGATTTGTTGGCTAAATGTAGTTCTTGTTTTAGTTTCTGGGCTTGCCAACTTATCTCCCGATTCTTAACTGTTTCTAATTGCTCTAATTTCTCAGCTAATTGTCTTTCTCTTCATTCTTTGGCTACTTCTAAGGCTTCAAGGTGAGTTTCAGCATCTAATCTTGCCTCTTTAGTTTTTTGCTTTCAATTTTCAATAATTTCAATAGTTTTAATTATTTTGCTATTTCTCCCTTAATTTCTTAATTGCTCAATGAATTCTTCTTTTCAATTATCTTTATCTATTTTTATTTCTTCATCAGTTGGCTCATAATATTTTGAAACTACTTCAGCAATGTTATTTTCAAGGTTTTTATAATCCTTTTCAATTCTTTCTTTTTCCTTAGTTAATTTATACTTTTCTACTTCTAAGTTTTCTTTTTGTAATCTCAATTTTGTAATTATTAAATTATCAATTATACCATCTTTATATTCATCTGTTATTAGACATTTATTCTTAATCAACTCCACTAACATTTCTTCTAGTTCTTCAGCTTTCTTTTTTAATTGTATTAATTCTTGATTATTTTCAGGTGCTGGAATTCCTTTTACTACCATAATATATTATTTTAATAAAATTTTATATTGGTTTTGGACAAGTAATATCTTTAAATTTATCCCTTAAAAATTGGTGAATATTATGATAAAGATACTCTTGCCTTTTATAATCCAAAGGAGGTGGTGTTAACACTAAAATAGACAAAAATTTAATTTCTTCAAAAATATCTGCTTTCTTGGTTTTCAATAAGTTAAATTCAGTAAAAGGTCCATTAGCAACTTCTTGAACTCTTACTGTACCAAGATTAGACGCTTCAAAAAGAAAATGTTGATATTTCTGGATGCTTGGTAATTTCTTAAAATAAATTCCCAAAATTGCTTTAATATCTAAGTATTGAAAGCCTTTTCCACCTTCATAACATTGAGTTTTATTTAATCCTGCTGGGCTAGACTTTTTTATTACCTCTACCACATGATCCAGACAATCTACTCTTGTTCTTCTATAGACTTTTTTTATTAAACCAAAGCTACCATCACATTTGAATTTGGTATGCCCTGGAATCATAAAATTCAATTCAATACTTTTATAATAACCACAAATTACTAGATACAGATAAAATCAAATTGTTACATTATTTTTATTTTGTCCCCCCAGCATTATCATAAGTAATCTTTAAATGTTTTTCACCTTTATTCAATTTCTTAATTCCATAAAAAAACATACTAAGTGTGCCATTTGGTCGTTTTCCTATAATTTCATCTTCATTAAGAACATAATTAATTTGATCCCTTACTGCTTCATCTTGAATACCAAACAAATGGACTTTACATGGACTAAGGTAATATATTTTACTTACTTGTTGATCTGAATGGGGCACATGAACATTTTGGGCTCAATCATAACTATAATGAGCAGTAGCATCAATACTACAATATTTTGTTTTACCCTGTGAATAATTTTGATCAACTAATTTTCTTTGTTCTTCTGCTAATTTGGTGTTTTTATTATAATAATTTCTTTCTAATCTTGCCTTGGACAGATGTTCTTTAAATCTTTTGAGTAAATCTTCCTCTTGGTGAGCATTATAATGTAAACCATTTCGAAAATGTTAACAAGTATCACACAAGTCAGTCCTTGGACTCATAATTTGAATTTCTGGTGTCAATTGAGCCTTTGGTTGTGAAAAGAGGTTCCCAAATCATACTTTCAATTCTTGTAAAGAAAAACAATAGCGAGAGAAGCAGTGTAGATTTGAAAACATAAGGATTATCAAAAGTTGCTTACCTTCTCCTAAAATAGACCGATTGACAGAAGCAGCAGAAAGAAAAATCACAAGTTATCAAAAAAAGAATTTTTTTTTTCATTTAATAATAAATGAAAAATGAATATTTCACATATACAAACGAGCAAACAAATAAAACAATATATATATATATATATATATCAAAGCAATTCGTTCATTGCCTTCTTTAATAAAATTCACCAAAGCTTTTTGCAACTCCACCACCAAGTTCCACTTATTCATCTTGTCCACCTTCAACTCTTCTTTTTCTTTTAACAACCTATCTCTTCTCTCTTCCAAGTTCTTCTTTTGTTTTCCACTCAAGCTCCCCTTCATTAATTCATCTTCCAACTCACTTAACTTCTTTTACCATTCCTCCAACTTCTCCCACTGCCTTCTCGTAATCTCCTCTCGTCTTGCTTAATTCCTGTTTAATGTCTTTTTCGTATGTTGCCATTTTTTTAAAAAATTAAAAAAAGATTTTAAAATTAATTTTTTTAAAAAAAACATTTTTTTATTGAGTTAGATCGTAATTGTTGCAATGATAAATTAGTATTAGTGAGCATGATTTGTTTTTCCTCATTCATTGAAAAATGTTAAAAGCAAAGCGATTTTTCTTGGAACGTGATCTGCATTATTTTTGACTAAAAATAAAAATGACCGAAATTCTATTTTAGTAATAGCAATCAATAATTTCTTCATTGATCCCTGAAATCCTTGGTAAAACTGTGACTGTGTCTGGTTTTGTTACAAATAATAAATAATGTCGTGTAACACACAGTACGAAGGTAAGTCAAGTGTCCACGTAAATTAACCTCCTTGCACAAAAAAAAAAAAACAACTTTAGAATTCTTTTTAACACAATCAAAGTCACAATTAACAAAAAAAAAAAATACTCGAACTATTATCTCTAATAGGAAGATAAAAGATAAAATTAAAGATAAAATTAAAAAGGATCAACCAAAATATTTATGGAAAAGATGTAATGTTTGTTACAAATTTTTTATTAAAAAATTAATAATTATTTAATTATTTCGGCAAAAAATAAATTTATCAGTTGAAAATGGTTTTGATTAATTGATTCAAGTCATGTAACACACTTATATCGGATGTTAGGTGCATGCGATCAGACGTTATGAATTAATTAATTAATTAATTAATTCATAGAGTTAATTAACAATGCGCACATAATATTTATGTCACACGCTCTATTTATCGCAAAGTATAACTCAATCTTGAATTACTAATAGATTACTTTTTCTCCTCTATAAATTGAATTATAAATTTTTTCTTTAATATTTGATAGTTGGGATGTAATTTTCCCCATTTTTCTCTGTCCATCACCATTATTTTCTACATTTGCATCGACTAGGAAAAGAAATTTACTGCACGACCCTATCAGTCACCCATTCATTCTGTTTATATAGTCCTTTCTCAACAAATCATCCATCAATTCATTCATCCATTTAACCACCAGCAATAATAAATATATATATCCCTTTCTAACGCATATATATAAAAATTTATTTTCTTTTTTTACCTTTTTTGCCTTTCTTTTTTCCTTCCTCTTTTTTTTATTTTCTTCCCTCTAATTATCATTATTCAATTAATTTTTCACGGTGACTGGCTCACATAATACAAAACATACACATACACGCACACACATATATACAAATACACACTTTAAAATATGGGAAAGCTAATATGGGGCCAATGGGGGAGATTAATCGCTCTTACTGCAGGAGTTTGTAAGTGTGAGACTTTTTAAAAAATAATTTTGAAAAAAAAGTAAAGAATATATTTTTATATCATATTTTTTTATTATTATTATTTTTTAAAAAAAAGTTGAAATTGTAGGAGGTGTTTTTGGTATTTTTTATCGATTGTCAACGTTCGAACAGTTCACTGGGTAAGTTTTTAAACAAATAAATTTTATATAATAAAAGACTCGTTATATTATTTTATAATAATAATAATAAGTTAATTTTATGATTTTTGTTTTGACAGGATTTTTAATCCATTCATTCTTAAATTCAATTATCTTGCAATATCTTGCATGTAGGTAAAAAAAACAACAAGACCTTTTTCATTATCTCAATTATAGTTTTGCTAATTTCCATTATTATTTTTTTTTTTTTAATAGTATGAATGGTTTAATAGTGCTAGTTCTAGAATACCCGTTGCCTCTAATAAGAAATACATCGATGGCAAAAGGCTACCTTTTAAAAATATTCCTTTATTTTTCGATAGGTATTTTTTCAACCATAAATTACCAAAATGTCAATCCTGGTTTCTATTTGATGCTTGCGAGTTTAATGTATGCAAAAGCTCTGGATAATGATGAAGATGAAATAAATGAAAATTATATAGATAGCCGATACTAAAAATTCCAATTATTATATTAATTTATTTTCTTTTAATAATAATAATGATAATAATAATTTAATAATTTAATTTTAATAATAATTTAATAGTAATTAATAATTTAATAACAACAATAAGGATCAATTTAATAACTAAGTAATTAATCGTTCGTTACTACGCCACTATGTTTTCTTTCGTGTGGTATCGAACAAAAATTTTCATATATATATTTGTACTTTTTCTCTCATTGTATTTGAAGGTTGGTGAAATAGGTATACATATATTGATATATTTAATTATAAAAAAAAAAATTTATCTAAAAAAATTGCATCAAAACAAGCGTATATAAATGCGTGTGCGTGTCTTCAAATTATTTATATTGTACACATTAAAAAAGTTAATGGATTAAAGCGTTGTCCAAGCCATTGCTCATCTAATATACGATAAATCAAATTATTTGTGTGTATTGGCTTGGGAAATAATGGCAAAGATGGTAGGTAATTGATTAATTAATAAATGTATTTTCGGTGTTATTTTTTTTTCAAAATAACTAAAAAAAAAAAGATTTAGTTACACCAAGGCACCTTTCACATTCTAGGAACATTTAATATTAAAATCTTGTGATAGTTGTTATATTTGGTAAGTAGTTATTTGTTGTCAATTAAAAATTAAAAAATAGGCTTTACTATTTATCCTTGAAAAGAGGTAATAATTATATAAATAATTATATTATATTTTTGTATTAAAAAAATACAAAGTTTCCGATTGTTTGTATTCCATCTGCTTGGAATGTAAATCAATCAAATAATATAACTAATTAATGATATTGTTATCAGTTTCACCCCATCAAAATTAACCAACAGCAGCATTAAAACTTGCTGGGCTTTAATTTTATGTACATTGTTTTAATTAAAATTAAATAACAATTGTTATGTTATTATTACAATTTTTGAAATGGATAAAAAATATCACTCAAGTCATGCAAAATATCCTGGGTCAAGCCAATTTGTAGAATAAGTGATATTCTTGTTATTAAAGATTCTAAATTGCAACAAATAATATTTCTTGGAACTTTGGATGAAATGTGTGTATATATTTACTAATAGATTTAAAACTTTACAACACCCGTTTATTATTTGTTATACATAAAATTTGAATGGAATCTATTAACATAATCAATATTTTTATTCCCATTCCTTCTAATCTTTCTTTCCCTCACTTCTTCCCCATCAAAAATTTTAATTAACAATATTTATCACACATGGATTTTAAATTCACAACTGACTTCTTTAATTTAGCTTTTTCCTGATCGCTCAACTTAACTTCAATAATTCTCTCGATTCCATTACTACCTAAAACAGCCGGCATGCTCAAAACACACTCGTACTCTTCTGAATAAACACTTAACGGTCTGATTTGACGTTGATTCAATGTAATAGATTGTACAAGCATTGAAACACAACCAGCTATACCAAAATATGTTGCGCCTTTTAAATTAATGATTTCATATGCTTTATTAGCAATCTCCTTTTCAATTTGTTCTCTCTCTTCATCTTTTAGATCCTTAATCTCCTGATAATCTAGTAATGGTTTACCGCCAACGTGTGCTGATGTCCATGCGATGATTTGTGAATCACCATGTTCACCCAACACATAACAATGAATTGCTGTTTCTGATACCTTTTATTAAAAATTTTAAAAAGATATTAATTATTTAATTATTATTTAAATAAACAACGACAATTATTAATTAATATTATGGTTATAATAATGGATTGTTTGTTTACCTTGAGTAAAGATGATAATTTTAATCTTAATCTTGCAGAATCTAAAAATGTACCAGATCCAAAAACTTGATGTTTTGGTAATCCAGAAATTTTTTGAGCGATAGAAGTTAAAACATCAACCTATGATTATTACATCCACATCATGATCAAAAGAATTGGACATTATTATCCAATATATGATAATTATAATTAAATAAATGCATATAATAATATCATCACTTACCGGGTTGGCGACTAACAATAAAAGAGATTTTGGATTGATTGGTTTCATCGAATTAATTACATTATCCATAATTTTATAATTTCTCTCGATTAACTGCATGTAGATTATGATACATATACATTTATTAGTTAGTAATGTTTTTATGTTCTCATCGAATTCCAACAAAATAAAATAAAATAATACCTGAATTCTTGTTTCATTAGGTTTTTGTTTAGCACCAGCGGTAATAATTATAATATCACATTGACCGGCTTCTTGATAAGTTCCACCACGTACTTGAGTTGAGGAAATAAAATTTGCATCAGATAAATCAAGCACTTGTCCTTTGACTGTGTCTTCTACAACATCAACCAATAAAATCTCTGAACTTATTTTTTGTATTAATAAAGCAAAAGCAATTGTTGCTCCAACTGAACCAGCACCTATGATTGCTACTCTTGAGTTATTAACCATTTTATGTTGATTTTAATTTTTTTATGAAAAATTGAGGGAAATTTATATTGAAAAAAAAAATATTTATACCATTACTAGTAAACCGATAGTTTCATATGAAAGTGTTTAATGGGTAAAGATGACTTAATGTTATTTTTAGTATTAGTATTAGTATTAGTAATTAGATTAGGCTAATACATTTAAAAAATCGTACGATTAATTTTTTTTTTCTCACACATTTAATATATTAATATTAATATTAATATTAATTAGTATGGCGTGAGCATATTGTCTCACAGGGGATTAATTACAAGGGTCAAATAATTAGATCACCATTCATTGCATGTTTGTATAGCCATAACTCTTGTTAATGTTTTTTTACATTTATAAAACAAATCCAAAATTAATAGAATGATGAGTCATGAATTTATTTATAATCATCACTGCTGCTGTTATACAACAATCTTTTATTTTTAAAAGTCTATTTATTGCGTTGTAAGCTTCTTTCGACAAATCACCCAATCTTATTATTTATATTCGTTGATCTTTATAATTATGAGTAAGAAAGATAATATGAAGAAATAACTTTGATAACTGAAAAATCATTAAAACAGGGAATGTTCTCAGAATTATGAAAATATCATAAAACCTACCAAATTACGAGCCTCCAACTACCAACCAGACAGTTCTTTTCGATAAACTGGAAGAACGTCAAGAAACCGGTAGGAGGTGATACAGTAGCTGTAAAACTCCTATCAGCAGATAGCCACATTAATGTTGGGTGAATGATAAAACCACCATAACTTGCTTCAGAAGCATTTCCACTTGACATTACTGAATTCGGAGGAAATACAAACAAACCCATGTTAAAAGCAATTTCAGGGATGGACTAACGTGGAAAAGAAAAAAAGAGGTGATTGTGATAATTTGGATAGTAGCGATGCGTGGGGGTAGATGTTGATATTATAAAAAAATAGATATAGATTTCCACCAGGAGTGCGCATGCGTCTACGAACCATCTAAATAGAAGTAGCAAGCAGTAGATGCAAAGATAAAAAAAATGAAAAGAAGAAGTTAGCAAATGCTAACATTAAGAAGTTTAGGAACCGATACATATTCGTGCCATTTTGTTCTATATTTAATCATCCCATCAGGCATTTAATCCTTCAGTCCTTACAATCCCAGCTCGTGAATATTTAGCTAAACACACTCTAAGCCGTATTCACTTCGAAGGGTGTTTAAAACCCAAAAGGACTGCCCAAAGGAAAATATAAATATAAATAGAATAGAAAATCAGCATCCAACAAGAAAAATTAACCAGAAGCTTGCCTTTTAAAAGTAGCGATTAAATCAATCACAAAGACAGTGGTGGATCAGCGATTTTGATGAAAGCATTTTTCATAATAATATCACGTGATAATTTACCATATATAGACGTGATTTTCCGTGTATTTGAAAGACCTTTTGCCTAATTATGTTACTCTTAAAAATTGTTCGGTCGTCCCAACTGCAGAAAATAGATCTCAAAAAATTTTGCAACTCAAAAAATAGATCCAATGAATTAATTAGCTAGTAAAGAGCTTCTAACATGTCTATTTTTGGTTTAAACTTGGACGGCTTTTGAAGTGGCACGTGTCCTAAAATAGCAAGGTTATCGAGCCTTAGTATTAGAGAAAGCTTTATCACCAGTTTTTGATGCT